CACCATTTCTCCCACTGAACTCTTCCACTATCTTCTTTTCCTTTGTTTTTGCTGTGATGGGTTCGGTATGCCAATTTGATTGTTTTGGAACGTGTTCCTTAACGATTTGGCACGCAAACGAATTTCGAATTAGAACGAATAAATCCAAACGAGGTTTGTGAGTGGGAGACGAATTAGATAACATTGGTTTGAACCCAAAATCTTTTAAAGAAATAATTCTCTCTTTCGTTATTAAGAATTCCCAATATCCATTATTTGCCCCTTAAGTTCGCTTCTTAAAGTATACGTTTGCCCTATTTTTTAGGTAAGCTAAAATAGTGTTGTTAGCAAGAAAAATAGGAGTGCTTAAAATATCATAATATATTCACTATCGGTATCCAAAAACACGACACGAAATAACACATATCAGTCTAAGGTAGCAAACAACATATAAAATATGGAAATTAGAGCTTTTGTAATTTAAAACCAATGGTTTGCTTGAGAGCGTGCGTAATGATCCGAGTTTGGAATAATAATAATGATATTCGTGAAACCGACGTCCACGGCCTGAATCTAAAGTTCAACATTTCACATAAAAGATTCCCCTACACTTTGTCAATTCCAGGATAACAATGTTTTTCTTTTATTCGGCGTTTTCGTTTAAAAATAATAACAATGTTTCTTGTTTGCTTAAGAATGCACATATTAATCCGGGTCGTACATCTGGTTGTGGTAGGTGAATTTTTTTGCGGAAATTTTCTGCGTACACAAATACTGAAACTCGAAACTTATTTAAACGATATCAAGTTACTTACCACTTAGATCAACCTGTGGGCGTGAAATGAAATTTTGGTATTGTTGAAACCCCATCCGGGTAAAATGCTTCATTACGAATGCACGCTCGAAAATTGTGGACACGTCGTTTTCTTTTTACTTTTGCATTTCATTAGCAAAGCATATGAATTATTGGTCGCGAACTTCGGTATATTTCTTTATTACTTTCAAGTCCATTCATAAAAGAATGGCCGCCAAAATTTGGTATTCAACATTAGCCAACAAAAATGGTTTTATATTAGAAATCCACCAGACCACTGAAGCTAGATTAGTGTTTTTTTATCGAATATAATATATATAAGATAAAAGCTGTTACTTTGACACGTTGTCATTAAAAATGATTTTATAAATAATATTAGATGATATCAGTAGAAAAATAATTTTATAAAAAATTAATCATTAAAAAATAAAATATGATAAATTTATTAGAAGTAGATTGGCTAGTTTATAAAATAAATATGTAAAATAGTGTAATATGCTAGCCAACTAATTGGAAACAATTTTTTTAAAAGATTTCAATTTCATGTGATGAATATTCGTATCATGTTTATGCATTTTATTCTATTATAATTATTTTTAAAATAAGATAATTATTATACAAGAAAGTTACAAAAAAATAATATAACATTTTTATAAGAAAAATAAGAAATTTAGGAGAATAATAAAGACTACAACTATGATTATTTAAGTCACATCAATATTTCATCTTATATTTAATGATTGATAAATTTTTTATAATAATATTTTAATTAAGCGATAGATTTATGATTTTTTTAAAAAATAATTGAATAATTATTATACTTTGAATAATTGGAGTAAACTAAGAAAACTAAAGTAGTAAAAGATACCCACTGCCTTGGTAAAATTTGCCTACGTACGGCGACTCGGCTATAAGATAACCCTGAGTAAGCCTAAAACCCTTTTAAGTTCACTTTGTAATAACTTTCATTTAAAAAATAAAATATGTCATTTCTTATTGAATTATTATCTCTCATATTTTACTTATCGTATTTTTTATTTTTTTAATTTATTAACTAAACTTTCAAATAATTAATATTTGTATCATTTTGAATTATTTTATTATTATTTATGTATGACATGGCTTTTTCTTAATTTAATATAATATAATTGAAAATATAAAATAAAAACAAAAGGTAGTTGGACGTCACCGTCGACCGTTGTAGATGGTGGTCGTTCGGTCTCAAATTTCATAGGTTAGTTTGTCTCGACTCATTGAGTCCAAATTTGGTGGTTGTTTCACAAAAAAAAAATATCCCAAAACCCATGAATCTCGATTGAAACGTTTCTACTTCCTCACTTTCGATCTCTAATTCGTGGACTTCATAACAAGTTTCGAAAAATTTGAGGGAGAATTCAAACTTATGGTGTCAAGACCAGTAACCCATGAAATTTAGGACAAAACGACCACCATCTACGACGATCGACGGTGGTGGTGTCCGACCACTTTCTGTTTTTATTTTATATATTTTTAATTATTTTATATTAAATAATAAAAAAATATCACATCATATAGAAATAATAATAAAATAATTCAGAATGATAAAAACATGAACAATTTGAAAGTTTAGTGAATAAATTTAAAAAATCAAAAGTATGATGAGTAAAATAGGAGAGATAGTATAATTTAGTGATGAATAGTGTAATTTACCCTATCAAATTATACTTGAATTAGGTTGAGTAACCATAGTTAAAATAATAGTTTTGAACCATAATATTTGGACGAGTTATGATTTACAAATTTAAAAATTAGAATCACTTAAAATATATTAAATTTTAATTATTTTATAGTATAAAAATATTTTTTATACAGAAAAGTAGTTCAATAACTTAAAAAAATACTATATACAAATTATTAATTAATTTTTATTTAATTGAAAATTTTGTTTTTAAATAAATTTATAAAAATGATTTAAAAATGTTTCAAATAATATTTAAAATTCATAAAATAAATTTAATATAAAGCAAAAATGCAGAATTTAATATAAAAAGTTAAAAATTAAAATTATTCAAATTAAAAATCAATAAATTAAATAATAAAATCAAATCAAATCAAATCGTATATATTTCTAAATTGAATATCATAGTGGGTCTCCAAGTACCAACATTCATCCAACAAATCCATCCCATAAAATCACTAAGAACAATATTATATAATAGTTAAAGGAATCAAAATCCACTCAACATTATTTTATTGATTTGATTGTTTCATCTTTATTCTATTATATTCTTTTAAATCACGAATTTTAGATTGATTAAAAATACTCTATTTTTTCCCCAAAATTTTATTTTCTTTTTTCCTCTACATGGTTAAGATTATATTTATTTTTTTTAAAAGAAAAACATTCTCTTGGTTTGTACTTTCCTTCTTTTGAATTCCGTAGAGAAACAAAACAGTGACATTGAGCCTCGTTGTCTTCCACTAAGGAAAGTCAGCACCACTAAATTTAATCGCACGCTAATTTGTGGATAAAGATGTGATTTCACTTGAAAAATAATTAAAAAAATTATGGTAGAATAAAAAATAAATTTATTCAACATCAACAAGTGTAATTATCGACAAAATTCTTACAACTCGAAAGCAAAAAGAAAAACAAAAGTTTTGTTTGTTACATAAATTTTAGAGCATTAAGCCATCCCCACCCTATTGTGTCTACCATTACCAAACTTTGCCTAATTGTATTTGTATGTTTGAGTTCAATTAATGAAATAAATATGCACAAAGTAGGGTCACATTGAAACTAGTTCCCATCAAATCATGTCCCATATGAAATAAATTAATGTCGACACAAAGTTAAACCCATCTAATACAAAATTAACTAAATTTGGCAAGAAAAGACTCAGGCACGATATAGATAAAAAAAACTATTTATAAATTAGATTAGTTAGGGTTAAGTTTAGATAAAATAATTTGTTTGTACAGAGTTTTCTTTACTCTTATTCTTCATTAATTTTTAGTTATATAATATAAATCATTAATATTTTTACTTTAAAATTAATATATATTTATTGATATTAAAATTGATTCTTAAAATATTTATTATAATCATAATTATTTTTATAGTTAATTTTATAAATTATAATTCATTTTAATATAAATTATTATTTTTATAAATAATTTTAAAATATTCTATAATTAATATATTATTATTATTTAAATTCATATTATAATTGATGTTATAAATGTATTTTATTAGATTTAAAATTAATGTTATAATTAATATATTTTTAAATAACAAATTAACTTAAATATTGTTTATGTGAAAAATATATCGAGATTTTAGTTCACTCAATTACTGAATAAGTGATGTTTAAATTTTGAATATTATAAGATCTATTATTCGATCGAGTGGCCAATGATACTCATATTGTTTCACTTTGTATGGATTTGAACCTCGGTATTTATCTTAAAAAAAATAATACTTCTCTATTTAATAAAAAGAATAAACATTATACATTACCCTTCATATTTTAAATATTTTTCATTAATAAGATGATGATCACTGGAGACAAAAATTTAAATTATGGCGTCATATTTTAAATATTTTTCATTAATAAGATGATGATTACTGTTTTTTCATTAATAAGATGATGATCACTGGAAACAAAAATTTAAATTATGGCATCATATTTTAAATACTTTTCATTAATAAGATGATGATTACTGAATAATTATGGCGACATAAATTACGGAGACAAAAATAAATATATTTTTACTCTAAAATAAAACATCGATTATCAAAATACTTCAAAAAAGAGAATAAAAATCAAAATAATAATTTTAATAAATATTAAAGCTAATTTTTATATTATACCTATTTTAAAGTGGTGATAAGATGATGATCAGATCATCTTATTGAAAGATATTATTTCATTAAAAAATAATTTTTTATTAATATGGAATAAAAACAATGTAGTATTTGTTTAAAAATAACTCATATCCATTTGATATTGCACGCTTAAACGTTTAAACATTTGTAGTGCACAAACTCGAAACCTCAATAAATAATAACAATTTTTTACAGATTGGTTTATGTAATAATTTTAAAAATAATTTTATAATTTTTTTTTACTTCGACGATGAAAAAAAATAATCCGAACTTACGATGTCGTAATAATAAAACTATAAATCATCGGGATTTCAGTATTCAGTTTCAGACTTGCAGCAATGATCATTTTTGCTGTCAAAAGAATATAAGAAATTCTTCTACATTTTCAGGCAAAGAAAGCAAGAGGTAATTTTGCGCAATGGGGTTTCTAAATCTTTTCATCGTCGCACTAATGCCCGTTCTCAAAGTAATATTGATCACCGGAGTTGGCTTGTTCATTGCTTTGGATCGCATAAAGCTGCTGGGCCCCGACCCAAACCGCCATTTGAACGATGTAGATTCATATTAATCAATCATTTTTGTTTCTTTATTTCTCAAATTTCTTCACTAATTAACCATTAACGTTTCTTTTAATCGTTTATAGCTTGTGTTCTATGTCTTAAGCCCTGCACTTGCAGCCACCAGCTTAGCTGAAACCGTCACTTTCCGAAGTTTCATCACACTGTTAGTTCCTCTCCATTCCATCACCTTGTTTTAATATTCCATTGGCTTAAGGAATTCATATTTTGTGGATGATTTGGCTTCGCCAGGTGGTTCATGCCATTGAATCTTCTGCTGGCATTCGTTTTCGGTTCATTACTTGCTTGGTTTCTCATCAAAATTACTAAAACTCCTAAACACCTTCAAGGCATTGTAATTGGCTGCTGTTCTGCAGGTATTTTTGTTAAACATCACAGTATGTGTGAATTCAGATATTTGCTGATATTCAATTCGTTTTATTTGGATATTTAAGTTTACCATTAGTTTTCAACAGGAAATGTTGGGAATTTGCCTCTGATTATGATTCCAGCAGTCTGTGAGGAGTCAAATAGTCCTTTTGGAGATCCAGCTGTTTGTTCTATGCATGCTAGGCCATATGCTTCACTATCTTTGGCTGTATATATCGTTCTTATTATTTTCCAATATTACCTTCTTCTTTGTTTTAGGGTAAATTACATCAGATACCACTAAATTTTACCTGTTAACATGTTTATACCACTAAACTTTTAATTTTATCAATTATAATACTAGACCTTAATTTTACATTCAATTATGTCACTAACATGGCTAACGGTTGTTGATGTGGCATGTCACAACAAAACAACGTCGTTTTTACTGTAACTGTTTCAATGCCTAAAATGATATTATTTTAGGCACTAAACTTTAGGGTGCATATCAGTGGCGTGACGTAATTGAATTTACAACTAGAATTTAATGCTATAATTGATAAAATTAAAAGTTTAGTAGTCTAAATGAGTCAGTAGTATCGGGTGTAGTTTACATTATTTGTATCATACGAGGGTTCCATTGTAATTGTGGTTTGAATGATCTTTACATAGATTGGCGCAATTTATATATGGTCGTATGTGTACGGTGTCATGCGATTGTATATAAATTCAAATATCGAAAATGGCTCCAATTCTGAAACACTTCCGAAGAGTTCCACTGAATTAGTTGTTGTTCCTTCAAGCAATGGTCACAATAATCCCACTAGTTTCGATGGAACAATTGCAAAGGTTTATTTCTTTCTTTTCTCATTTCCGTCGAAATTTCAAGCTTTAGTTGTGATTTCAGTCCTAATGTAGATGTCAGCTTCGAAGGGAATAATGCAACGGATGAAGATCATATCGGGAAAAGTTGACCTGAAGAAAGTGTTTGCACCAACAGCAATTGCAGCGGTATGATGAGACGAAACCTCTCCATTCGTATATTCGTATCATGTTCATATATTTCTTTTACGTACCGTAATCGTCTGAACAGATTGTCGGGTTTATAATCGGGATAGCGTCTCCGATCCGAAAACTATTGATCGGAAATAAAGCTCCACTTCGTGTAATTGACAGCTCTGCATATATATTGGGGTATGAATGCTTCGTTATGCATCATATACATATTGATTTCATTAAAAAAAAAACAAATAAATATGATGTTAAATGCAGGGAGGCAACAGTTCCATGCATGACCTTGATAATGGGGGCAAACCTTTTGAAAGGTTGGTGTCTTGTCTTTAGTTTTTAAACAAGAGAACATTCAATCTCTGTATATAGGGATCGATCCGGGCTGACAGGACGGTCTCTCTCCTGAAAATTTCAAATTCTCATATAATTCAGATATTTTCGTCTCCCTAATATAAAACCTTGTGTCTGTCCCTGTTTGTATATCGTTGTTTCTGTAGGTCTCAAGGGATCTGATGTGAGTCGGACTGTGATCATAGGGATAATAGGGGTGAGGAACATATTGTTGCCATTGATGGGGATCGGTGTTGTTAAAGCAGCTCTCCAGTTGGGGTTGGTGGCATCAGATAATAAGTTATATCAGTTCGTTCTTATGCTTCAGTTTGCTGTTCCACCTGCGATGGCCATAGGTAATATCTGTAACACCCAGGGATGGACTGAGAGGCTGGTAGGGGTGATCCGTCCCTGAAAATTTTAAGTTCTCGTATAATTTAATTTTTTTCTTGTATTTCCTATTTATAATCTGTTATTGTTTCTTAAAATTTTATAAGTTCACTCATGAGATAAATTTCTGTGTATTTCGCTACCGTAATACCAACAAATGAATATATGGTTGTTAATTGTTTGTACTAATTTGATACTGTTGGCAGGTACCATGACCCAATTTTTCCAGCTTGGCCAATGTGAAACTTCAGTGATAATGATGTGGACTTATGTTGTAGCAGCATTCACCCTCACACTTTGGTCTACCTTGTTCATGTGGATTCTGGCTTAATTATTTGATGCCCAAATACCCAAAAAGAAAAAGTTAACTTCCCTGAACGGGGTAGAATATTTCTAGTTGTGTTTGCCAAGGTTTTCATAGATAGGATACTGGAAATTGAATTTTAACCAAGTTTACTGTGGTTAATTTGAGAGTTTATTATCAATGACTAGTTATGCTTATTAGGAAGTGATCATATAACACTATCTGTTAATGTGGATATACTCAAATTTTATAAATTTCTTTGTAGAGTCAAAAGGGTCAAAGTATAAATGGCTATAAAAAGACAAGGGACAAAGTCTAAATAAATTAAAATCGGAGGTTCAAATAAGTAAATATCTCCATGTATTTTTCAAAACAAACAAAATTTTGGGGCAACCACCCCTAAGCCATAACATAGCTCCATTGCAAAATTACATTGTTGAATTCATTAAAACTGCTTCACTGCTTATATTAGGACACACTGCCTATGTAAAGCAGCAATTTCCAAAGCAAAATCAAACTAGAAGCCACATGAAAACCGTTGACCAAATGGTGATGGAGAATGCAGCTACCGCATAAGTCCATAGCATAATCACGGAACTTTCACTTTGGCCAACCTGAAATAGTTGTGTCATCGTGCCTGCCAATGCCATTACATTAAACCCAGATTTTGCAGAGTTTTATCAAGGTTTTTGAGTAAGTGATTAACGTTGCATACCTACTGCCATGGCAGGAGGAAGGGCGTATTGAAGCATAAGAACAAACTGGAACAAGGGGTCCGATCCAACGACGCCGAAATGCTGTGCAGCTCTAACAACACCGACGCCGAACAGAGGCATCAATATGTTCCTCACTGCTATTATTCCCACAATGATTGAAGGACTCATATCTGATCCTTTTAAGCCTGCAATTCAAGGTTTCTAATATTGAATCAGAATTTGTTTAATTCTGATATTTATAATCAAAGCTGGGATTCACCTTTTAGAAGATTTGCTCCCACTAGCAAGGTCATGCATGCAACTGTTGGTTCCCTGCAAGCACAAGGATTAGTAAAGTTCAAAATATGAGAAGTAGGAAAAGAATGTCTAAGAGGACACACATACCCAATCAAATTTATAGAACACTCGATAACACGAAGAGGAGCATCGGCACCGATTAGTAGTTGTCGGATCGGAGAGACTGTCCCAACAATAAATCCAACAATCTGAGCGCCAAAAAAGGTGCAAATGAGGGGCGATTCTCAGAGATCAGTAAAGACTAATGAGCAATATTTACAGATTCTATATATAGAATGCAAGAATTTTGGCATACCCCTGCAATTGCTGATGGTGCAAGCACTTCCTTCAGGTTAATCTTCTTCATGATCCTATTTATGCATTGAAATCCCTTCTTTAAAACTGAAATCTGATAAGAAAACAATAATACTAGTATCACATTGCAGTCGTTATTTTAATAGTCGAATGATTCACAAGATGAAATCAAAGAAATAAATGAGATCATGAAACCTCTTTTTGTGTTCCAAAGTTGTGGAGAGGGAGTTCTTGTATCGAATATTCATCTGAAGCAAGACGATCCTTTGAAATTAGTAAAGCTTCTCGACAACTTTCCAAAACTGCTTCCGACGTCTCCTCGGAAGTCTGGATGGTGATGGTCAAGCTATCTTCTTTGCAGATATTAGCGTATGAACGCATGATGCCATACGCATAGGACCATATGAAAATGGCTCCTACAGCCAAAGACAGTGAAGCATAAGCACCAGCATTTGCAGAGCAAGTGGATGAATCTCCAAATGGATTATTTGGTTCCTCACAAACCGCTGGAACTAAAATGAGAGGCAAGTTCCCCAAATTTCCTGCCAAAAAAAAATCAAGAAACCGTAAAATAATAATCCTAACATCATATTGCCAGCAAATACAAGAAAATGAAGGAGAATTTACCAGCAGAACAACAGCCGATGACCATGCCTTGAAGGTGTCTAGGAGTTTTAGTGATTTTGATGAGAATCCAAGCAAGTGCTGAGCCAATAATGAATGTTATCAAAATATTCACCGGCATGAACCACCTACCAAAGGATTGAATCATGAAATAGAGTGAATCATTCAAGCAGTTGCTCAAATCCAACTTTCTTAGACAATTTGTAAATAATGAACCAAATTATATAACTCCGGGTTTAAATTACGTAGGGGAAACTTACAGTGTTAGAAAGCTGTCAAAAGTGATGGTTCCAGCCAAGTTGATAGCCACAAGTGAAGGGCCAAACACATAGAATACAAGCTGTTTAGATTAAAGAAAAAGAGAGATTAAGCAGTAAATAACAATCTGGAAAATTGTCGATCTATGCAGGAAGATGGATTGTTTATCGATTTTTTAATTTTTTTTTACCTACAATATGCTTGTATCCTATACTCACAAATCGAAGAAAGATAACATTCACTTACTTTATTCAAATGATTTTTGGCGTCTGGCCCTAAGAGATTAACATGATCCAAGGCAAGAAACAAGCCAACCCCTGTAACCAAAAGTACTTTGGTAACTGGAATCAGTGCAACAATGAGCAGATCAATCAGTCCCATTGCCAAAACTTCTGCGCTCCGAGTTCTTTAACTTGATATATAATACTTTTCAATAAAAAACGTAAATTTCCTGCAGAAAATCTATGAAATACTTCGAAAATAAAAGAAAAGAATCTCAGGACTGTGATGAACACAAGGAAAGATGAAGATTTGATGAGTGATTTAAATATACAGCAAGAACGTGACGATGGGAATTAATGTTTGATTGTTTATTAATTGATGTTTATCATAATAGTATTAGATAGAGTATTTGTTTAATCTTATACGACGGATCGAATATTAGAGGTTTAAAAAAAATAATAACACGTAATTTAAATTTATTTAAGAGAAATTACACCCAATTAGACTTATAGAACTGCAGATCTCACCTAACTGGATTTAGATGTAATTAATTAATAATAACTTTTATTGGCTCAGCACTAATAAATTATTTTAAATACAACATTGAAGAGCACCCATGTGTGAGCACGCTTCTAAAATACATAAATTTTTTAAATTATTTAAAAAATAAATTTTTATGTAATATATATACATATATATACTAAAAATTACTAAAAAATCCAAAAATATAAACATAAATGATTGGGAAGTTGTCGGACAAAGTTACCATCTGTCCATCGTTGTTTTGGGAGCGAAAACTGTTTATAACTCCTGTGGTGAAAATTATTCACTTTTCAACTAATCTATTTTTAGATTAAATCTACTAAATTTTAAATTAACACATATGATTAATTTATAAACTTATATACCAATAAAATACCTAAAACAACTTCTAAAAGACAAAATATGAATGAATCCAACAATGAAAAAGAAGGCTGCAAACAAAGACTATCGTTTTGATGGACATGAAGGTGCATGATGGAGAGACATAATGGAGAAACTGGGCTCTCACATAAATGGGTTGATTTGGTGATGAATTTTATTGGGCTTAGTGGTTAACAGCCTAATAGTTGTTGGGTTAAAAGAGAATTATCCCACTTTCAGAGCAATTCAAAATTCTCTAGACCCTCGGCCTTTTGCCTAGTATCTTCAAGAAGCTTTAAACCTTTGGCAAAACTCCAACTTTTACCGCTATATGTAGGTGACGTTTCAGCTCCAATAAGCCTTGTTCTCTGTGTTTCAAGCGGAAAACAAAAATGGCCAAAAACCTTGAGATCCAGATCGAAGAAAAGAAGCCAAAATTCCCTAAGAACTTGTTGCTATTCCTACCCAAACTTCCCTTCAACAGAAAACGTAGCGTTGAAGTTGTGATCCAAAACAAACACAATGAAAAACAGTTGAGTGATGACGACAACACAATTAGCAAAACTAATAAGGCAGCCGATGTTGTGAAGTTCTCGGAGCCTCGTCCGGCTGTTCCACCGCCTTTGACGCTTCAGGCCGACGACTCTGGAACCACTTCCAACAAAATAATTCTCTGGCAGGTCAGACTACGCCTTATTCTGCATTTCCCCCTTTTTTTTATATAATTTAGAGTGTGAATGAGTTGGAATTTAAATTACGAGCGTATGCATGCCTGATGCCTTCGTATTTATTAGGATACTATAAGTTATTCTTATTGATATGTAACCCGCAAACTTTTAGAAATTTCATAATTCTAACTCATTGAGTAACTTTAGTGATAAAAGATACCTCATTGATAAAATGAGTGTTATTTTCTTTAGAGATTTCGAGTTAGAACAATTAAGTATATATATGTTGTTAATGTTTAATAAAATTATAAACTTATACTATTTTGTAACCAGTTAAACTATTTAAAAAAGTTTTATTAGTCGTGAAATATTAGATGATTAATTAATTTTTTAAGTTAAAATTATTAATTAATTTTTATGATTCTATTGAGTTTAATTCAAATAATATTTTTTTAACATATAGGATTGAATAGGTTATTAAGTTAAATGTGCAATATCGTCTCAAGATTAGCACTTAATTTTGAATTATAATATAAGTTTTATGTCTAAAATTTATAAAATTTAATATTCAAAATTTTACCACTTAATCAATACCGAAACAACACTTCAATAAGCATGTTTGATAGAACCGAAAAAACTTAAGGATGAAAATCTATCTAAATAGGGGAATTAAAAAAGAGCACGTGACCTCTCTCATCTCTCCGCCGATACAGTAATAAATGGAGACCTGGGTGTATGGACCCGGAGGCGGAAACAAGTCCAAGGTAAGCAATGGCGGAAGCAAATAACAAAGAAATCCAGAGCAAAGCTGAAAATCCTTTAGGACCCAGAAATTTTTTCTCAATGTTTCCCAAAGTGGACCTAAAATTCCCTCTCTTTTACCAACCATCGAAAAAACCTGAAGTTTCGGTTAAAAAAGAGGAGGAAATTGAAATCCTGAAACCATCGTCTTTATTTCTTGGAAACCGCCGGAAAATTCCTGGGCCGTTGGAATTCGAGGCGGAGGAGTGCCTTGGGAGAACTTCTAATCCTATAGTTCTCTGGCAGGTATACTTTTTTTTTTCTTGTTTTTGGGTGTTTTAGGTAACTAAATATGTAGTTAAAAAAAGCAAATTTTGGCCGGTTTAGTAAAATTCCACCTTTTTGTTCAGAATAAATCGAATTCGATTAGCATATTTTATTTTTTATTACGAGTTTATGTTTGATGCCCTGTTGCATAATTCTTCTATGAATAGCCAGTAAGCCAGACTTTTCCTTTTCATTATAATTTTAGTTATATTTGGAAAGGGTTGTTTCAAAGAGTGTGGTAGAGATTATTTTCCAATCTCTGTGGGAAGTAGAAAGAGCATGTATCTGTGCTTGTCTTTTATTCAGGGTTGTGAAGAGCACAAAACGCACTAGTAAAATTCTGCTGTTAGTTCCCATTAAATTGTTTGAACAAAATATTCAAAGCTATGGCTTAAATTGTTAGAACAAGGCTTATTTAAAGACAAAATTCTTCTGGGTTTGTTTTGATAGAACCATTGATTTGTGTAGGGTATAACAACAGTAAATCAATAGAAGTGGGCTGAAAAAACAAGAATAAAGAATTTTGAACTCTGGAGAACGTAGGGTTATAAAAACCTCTAGTTCTCTCTACTAATTCAAAGAAAAACAGTAAACTTATGTTTTCTAGTGTTCCAACTTCTTTCTTACTCATTTGTTCTGCCCTGATTCGATTGCTGTTGTTTTCCCCTAAACCACATGAACCATTGGTAGCCTAGCTTTTCTGTTGAAATTATCATTAGGCTAAGATATGATTAATGTTATTGGTAAGCTAGATTTTTTTCCTCACATGCCTCTTAGATTGATCTACAGCTGTGTAAAGTCAGTAGTTGCAGTATTCCGGTTATAGCTGACAAATTATTTTATATTTTCATTTTTTATAATATATGAAGTCAATGGAAGATGTTTCAACATTTCATGACTATTAAATACCTGGAAGAATAGCTAATGATATAATGAAGGCAAACTTGTTGAAATTAATATGTTTGTAAAAGGCAAAGTAAATATATATGGGAGATTACTAAGCTACCAACTTATCTTTTATATTCTCTTCCAAAGAAATGGATTATTCTACCAGCGAACATTGTTGTTAATACATGCAACTAGGAACTTATATGCAAACAAGTTCTCTTTAACTTCATTAGTATTTTTACTTTTTTTTTTCTCAATATACTGTAAAATAAAAATCTCAATTTCTCTACACATTGTATAGACTGAGAGCATAAGGAAAACATGCATGTTAGCCAACAAAATCATTTTTACTGGTTTTGTAGTGTAAAATGGACTGCTGTTCTTCCGTTCAGTTTTTATTATCGTAATTATATGTTTTAAGCTTATATATATATATATATTGACATGCATGAAAAAGATACACATATACACCTTACTTAGGTTAGTGCTTTTTCTACACCTTGTGCTTTAGATCCTATAAGGGTTCTAGCATCTAGAGTGTGCCTCATTCCCTTGACTGCATGACTTATGAGAAGTTTCGATGATGATTTGGGTGCCTAGGTATTTTATTTTCCTTAGCATGAAGATGTGACATCTAAGAAGCTGTATATGATATTCAACATTTAGGTGGTGTTTGTTTTTGAAGAGGTAAAATGTCTGCAGTCTGCGGACCACATCTGCAGGCATCTGCAGCAGAAGAGGTGGACCAAAAGTCTGCAGTCTGCAAGAAAAAGACTGTTTGTTTTTTAACGTCTGCAAACTGCTAAAATAAACTGAAATATAAATAAACTGATTTTTTAAACTTAAAAGAGTTTTGTAATACTGATATTTAAATAATTTTAGTTTTACAATACTAAAATTTAAATAATTTATACAACTACAATAATAATTTTTTTAAAAAAACAAACACTACCTTATTAATTCTATTATAAGTCTCACATAATCACATGTATTATTAGTTTTATAAGTTTTATAGAATAAAATTTATAAATGATCATTAAATTATATGATTTTTTTAAATATGTAATTTTGTAATACTTTTAATTTTTTTAAATATATTCATAATTTTTTTATAATTATATGATATTTTTAGAAAATATTTTTTAATTTATCAAATTATTTTATGATTATTTTTTATTTAATTGTGATTATATTTTAAAATTTTAAAAACATAATTTATAATTTTTTATATTTTAAAATCTTAATTATCAAACAATGAAATCATTTTTTATTAAGCAATGTGGTTTAAATACTTACATTTTGTATAAAAAGTTTAAATATAATTTAAAAATAACAAATCTAAAAAATATTATATTTAAACTTAAATCAAAATAATTAAAATAAATATAAAATTTTAATAATATATAAAATAATTTATATGATATAAAATTAAATATCTATAATATAATATTAAAAAATTAATATTTAATTTATTTAAAAAATTAATATTAAAATTAATATCTATAATATAATATTAAAATATTAATATTTAATTTATTTAAAAAATTAATATTAAAATTAAAATCAAATATAATATAAAATTAAATAAAACCTCTTTGAAGAGGTTAGAAGACGTCTGAAGACATAAGACCACGTCTGCGCCGCGCAGACCACGCGCAGACGTTAGAAGGGCTTCTGTCTTCTAAAAAACAAACGGTCTGCGAAGCCCAATGTCTGCGCGTGGTCTGCGCGACGCAGACATAAGAGCTTTGCAGACCTTACACAGTAAAAACAAACACCACCTTAGTTTTTTTATATTGGGAGCTAGGATCCAATTCCTAGGGATTCTAACGATTTCTTCGCTATTATAACACTTGCCTCGTTCATTTTCATTGTCAATTTGGGATGAGTGAATGAAAATTATTTTACCTACCTCCAAAATTCCTGTGCCATGGATGATTCTCTATATTCATTTTTTCTATATTGTTGGTTTCTATGTTACTCGTATTTAGGTGGTTTTGGAATAAGGAATGCAGTAAATATGGGTATATTTAATTTTTTAATGTTTTCCATGTATTTAAAGGATTCTCGGAGTGTCATATACCCATACAAATGTCCTGAAATTCGTCTAATATAGTGTGTGATAGGAGTGGCAAACAATAGTTTTTTGAGAAAAATGAAGAGTTGGAATAGGTTAGTTTTACTACTTAGGTTGCAGTTTTTCCCTTTTACCATAATTTTATAGGTTTGCATATCGATATTTGATCTTCCTTTTCCATTTAGCAATCTTGGTTTTATCTTGAGGTACAGATTTTACTTTTGAAATTGATTTTTAATCCTATATATACATATATAAAAGGAAGATCAAAAAGATCAAAAATGAAGAGACTGCAAGTTACTTAGATTTTGTCCATTCGGGTTTAGGCAAAACCCCTATGGATCCCAGGGACCATAGCCCTCCATGCCTTCTGACATTGGATTCAGTGATGCCGTGGATGGTGTATATTGAGCTTGAATAAATTGCTTCGTCTTTCATTCCCAGCACCATTTTACTTCATTGTGTGTAAATCAGTTGATTTTGTCAGGTATATGCCATTGGTGGTATCTTCTTGGTGAAATGGATATGGGCAAGATGGAAAGAACGGAAGGAGATGGGATCCAAGAAGGAATCACCCAATGAAGACGAACAGCCTCCTGCCGTCGATGACTCTCAGTATGTATGATTCTCGAATTTTGTTTTATGGTGCAGTTTACATTCCCAACTTTAGGAGGTATAGTAAAACCAAGACCGTATCGTAGATTGTGTAGCTAATGCTTGTTTGCTGCTTTGTTGAACTTCTTTATCATCACAAATACAATTTCATGTTTTTCTATCTTTGGTAGGGAAAAAAAATAGAAGATTTGAGTGTTGAGTTGCAAAATAATATTTGTTCGACTTCAAATGAATGCAACCATTTTTGCATGGAAGCCGTGTGAGATTGTTTTATCCATTTTCGTCGGATGTTGGATTTATACACGTTTTATTGCTTTCTTGTTTTTTTTAATCCACTCTATGGATTCAATATTATAAAAGTTTTAGAAGGTATAATGACAAATTTACTCTTCGATATGCTGTTATTGTAGTAAAAAGTTGGACATGGAAAAAGGGATAAAAGCTTGTTATCATATCGTCTTAAAATTATGAATAAATTATATCAATAATCACTAAAGTTTCAATAAGTTCATTTTAATCATTAAATCACTGAAGTTTGAATCATTAAATTTCCAGACATGAATCACAAAATGTTAAATTAACACTGTGACATGTTAATAAAATTGTGTAATATTACATTTAACTTTTGAATTATAAGTGAAACTTCAATTTAGTACTTTAATACCTCTCTCCTGTTCTTCGTGATTCCCATAGTTTGTTTAGTTCGCGTAATGGAACCAGCCAGCAAAAATGGATTGGAACAGGTTAGAGCTGTGCTTCATCGAGGATTACGTTTATGAACAAGTCAACGCTCCCAAATGGGTTGATTACTTGGGCTTTGGAATGATAAATTTATAAAATCCTTTAACTTTATATTATTAAATGACATTTTATATTTAATTATAAAACCATTTAATAAATTATAATTTTATACATTGTAAATAGACGAGATTACAACTCATTTTACAAAACTTTAAGATTAAACTTATATGTTATTATCAACGTTTAGAATCTAAACTATAAATTTTTCATTCTTTTTAAAATTTTATTTAACGATTAGTTTATGTTTTATTTTAGTATTTTGCGGTTAAAAAGTTAACAAATATTTATACTTGATATTTTCTATGGGTAATTTATATCATTAACCACTCAACTATCTTCTCACTTCTATTTTGGTTATTGAAATTTATATTTTTAAACTCCAATCACTTAACGTTCAAATTACTCCCATTTTAATCATTCTAACTTATTTTATTAATACATGAGGGGTTTGTGATTTAGAGTTTATGATATAATTTTAAATTTATTTTATTATTTTAATTATATATTAATAAAATAATAATAATAAATGTCACATCACAAAAAATATTAATAAGATAAATTAGAGTGATTAGAACATGAACAATTTGAAAGTTGAGTAATTAAATTAAATTTTTTTAACTTTTATTGACCAAAAATAAGAGAGAATATAATTACATGATGAATGATTAATTTACTTATAAAAATATTACATACAGGTTTTTATGTTTTCAACGATAATGTACCAAAATAAATAAAATTGTATTTAGTATTTTTATATTTCTGGGTCCAGAGGAGACCAAATGACTTGAATTTTTTGAAATAGGGTCATAAGTCGTTCTCGATCCATGAACTGGGTTTTTCGCTTTTCAGAAAATCTATTCGACTTTTGAGACCCACATCCTGTGAATCTGTCAAGCAACGTGTATTTGATCAGACCATGAAATTCCGATACGCCATGGTTTGTTCATCGAACCAGAACCGTAGCATGGAGGCCCACTGTCTCCTCAAGAAGCAGGGTTTCGACGTCTCCTCCTACGGGACAGGGGCTCACGTTAAGCTCCCTGGACCCTCTCTCAGAGAACCCAACGTCTACGAGTTCGGCACCCCTTACAAACACATGTTCGAAGACCTCCGCCGCAAAGATCCTGACCTGTAACTAACTCTTCTCTTCTTCTTCTCACTTTCACTCTCGCGATTTCAGTGAAAATTGAAAATCCAGAGTGTTTTTTCCCTTCCCTTTCCAGGTATAAGCGGAATGGGATATTGCCGATGCTTAAAAGAAACTTGAGTGTGAAACTAGCGCCCCAACGTTGGCAAGACAATGCAGCTGATGGTTATTTTGACATCGTTTTTACTTTCGAAGAGAAGGTTTTCGACATGGTTCTTGAAGGTTCTGCTGCTCCTTTTCAATTATAAATATGTATATATGGTTATACTAATTGCTCTAGGAATTTTATGGGATTAAGTGAACTTTATGCTTTTTCTAACTCATAGTAGTTTTTTGTTGCTGAGATTATCGATTATGTGAGGATATTTATGTAAGGATGAAATACTAATATGTTTTCTATGTAATATAGTAATTAGTTAGAATCATGATCTTAATTGATGGAAAAGAACGATAATTTTAATCTGAAATCCTAACTCTTTTACAATGCTAATTGTATTTTCCAATTATTTTTCGCTTTTGGTCCATTTGCTCTCTTTGCTGTCATACTTGTTTTGTTTTGTTTTGTGTCTTTCTACTTCTCTATTCAGTTCTTATTCTCATCACCGATGCTCTTTGATGTTGATTGTAGTCACATCAAGTATGAACCATACATATCAATTATAATACCGGATTGAAAGGTTTTGCTTGCTACCATAACCATGCCTCAGAAAATTTTCAATCTATGTTTTGTAGGATTTCTCTCTCTTTAGGTGTCTGTGGCTGTTTTACAATTCTAAGAGTTGCCTCAAGAATCACATAATGAATTGGAAGTCATGATATCATTTCTTCATCTAATTTTCAATGTCATTGGTTATAGAAATTCATGATTTTGTCTGACCGGCCCAATTGTCATTCAAGAACCAAGGTGCACGGTATGTTGCATGATTAAAATGATTTTAGGAAAGTTACATGGTGAAACAGATTAGGACATAGAAAGTCTACTCTCCTTAGGAAATTAACCAGTGTCAACTTAGGTCGTGCTTTCAGTGCTGCCATTCTAGAGAGGATTTGCCAAGTGGTCAAGGTGTGTGTCTGGAGACTTAATATTGCCGGAGACTTTTTTTTTTCTGTTTTTTACAAGTTTTGGAGGAGAATACATTCTGGAGGTTCGGGATAAGTTGTTGGCTGTTGGAGTGAAACTATTTCCAATGGACCTTTCCTCAAAACATTTCTCCCCCTTTTATTTTATACCTTAGTATGGCCATTATTTTCATAAGCTTATTGAGCTTGTTCATTTTTTCTGACCTTTAGGGCATTTGAATCTTCTCCGATGTTTAGTAAATATAAATTTAATTTTACCTGTCGACTGAAAGTCATCAAAGATAATGTTGGAAGCCATGAATTGGAGATGATTCTGCTTTCCTCCAATAAGTTCTTGACTTTTGATTTCTTGTCAAACTAATCTGCATTTGATAATGCATCTGTATTTACATGTAGTTCAAATAGTTACTTAAGTTACAATCAGCCCTAGAATCTTTCTATCCAATGAGAATTTTCTTTTCCTTTCCTTTTGCCCCTTAATACTTTTATTTATTATCATCTTGATGTGTTGATAATGGCAGATCTGCACAACCGGGATCAAGTTCTCTTGAAAAGTGTGTTGGTGATCAATTTAGAGGTTAAAGATAATCATGAGGAAGCTGCTGTTGGAGCCCGTCTTGCTTTAGATCTTTGTGAACAGGTGCATGTCAACAATTGTTATGTTTTTTATATTCTGTTACGTTTGGTATTTCATCAATAGGCTGTTACATTTGATACTACCCTTTTTCATGTGATTTCCATCCTTAGATCGAAGCTGTTGAGTCGTGGGAGGACTCGGTTGATGATATTATGATTTCTTTCGAGAACAAACACCATAGGAAGCTGATGTATAGCATCTCTTTCTACTGAAGGTATCCCTTACACTTGAATAATAAGTACCTTCTTTCCCGACTGTTAATTTGACACTTACTAAGATTTTGTTGCCGTTAACCAGTTCCTCATTGTGCATCCCACCATTTTATTTTGATCTTTTTGTGTAGGATTAGTTTGAGAGCATGATCATGAAAGAATCGGGATCACAATCTATATATATGGTGCTCATACCGAATCCTATAGAGAACGAGCCTTGTAACCTCATCGGCAAGCCGTCTTCAAGCAAGCAGGATGAATCATTATTACTTTGTAACTTCCCTCTTCATGAATGGTACTTGATCGTTTCTTTTAATGGATATTGGCCATGTTTGCTGTCTCCATTACAATCCAATATTTGGCTCAATTTTATATGGCAATCCCTCCAACGCAACTATACCATATCTATGTATTAATCTGGCTGTCTCTACCTATAGGAAACTTGAACTTTTAGAGACAGATCATTCCTTGAAGAAAGGCCATCTAAAATCAATTCAAAGATGTACATGTACATTTGCTAACCAGTCAAGAGAACCACTCCAGTGCTCGTCATGGTCCCACTGTATCTTCATATTTGCATATCAATCTGGTTCACGAGGGGGGGGGGGGGAGGAACCCCAAAGGTTATGTCCAAGTTTTACCACTGATAGCTTTGAAATATTACAAGAAGCTCATAGCTCAAATCAACCCTGAAGATGGGAATCCAATTCAACATGCATATACCCAAAGTGTTTATGATCCAAATTGTTAAATGACAACAATAGAGTTATTCTCCTATAGCATTTACCACGATATTCAGTTAATATTCTCGATTAATAACAAAATATTGAAATAAAGTAGTTATTTTGATATTTTTTAAAAAATATCTTTTGGCAAACAAAGACATGACGTAATCAACATTTTGAAACAAATATGAAAGAGTAATCAATAATGAAAGTCTATCTCAAAAGAGAATAGTAAATTTTGTCAAGTTCTAATTATGCGCTGAGAGATGGTGCCTATGCTTATATATTATTTGGATTTGATTTGAAAAAAAATTAGTTTATATTTAAATATCATAATTAAAATTAGAATGAATGAAAAGAAAATTGTGTATAATTTAAAAACTGAGGTCGTGATTTGAGAAGTGAATAAAACCAGGGGCATTGAATCTTGAGAAAACATTGCCTGGATTTATACAAACAGTAACTCAACTGGATTACGTTGCTTTGGTGATTAGTTTAGGGTTAAAAACCAGGGACATTAAATCTTGAGAATGAGATGGTTTAGACAAATTTGACCAGAATTGTGATGTGATGGGAGTCGTGTTTGGTTGGTTTAGAGATTTTAAAATGATGCTTTATCAGCTTGGAAAACCTGTCTTTTACTTCATGTAATGCTGTTTCAATGACTTTTTGTTTCTCCCTCGTTAATATATTGTTTACACATTATAACTCAGGTTTCATCAACACACTTTGCAAAGGTTAAAATTTTGGTAGTAATCTTTTCAAGTTTCCCATACATGACATGATAATTCTCAATTCAAATCTTATCTTAATTAAATATATTTATATTCTAATAAATATCTATTATTTAAGGAAGAACATCACCCTCCGTATTGGGAAAGATTGTAAACAAAAGTATTGAACAAGCGAGGTGTTTACTTCATTGAATTACACACACTTATATACATTGATGCATCTCACATTCCTCATAACTGCAGCTTAATAGACTCTAACAATCTAGCTTAGCTGCTTAACAAATTAACTGACTCTAACACCACAGCCACTAGTATACACCCACGTGTCTCTAATTATAACAGTCTAACATTCCCCCTACTTGTTCCAGTTTTTTTGTTTGTTCTTACAAACAAGTACAACACATATTCTGTTGCGAAACTCTTCAAAGGCGGTTCTGGTCAGAGGTTTGGTGAAACCATCAGCAATCTGATGTGCAGTTGGAACATAGTTAACCTGAATCTGCTTGGCAGCTACCTTCTCCTGAACAAAGTGCACGTCCAAGTCTATGTGTTTTGACTGAGCGTGATAAACCGAATTGGCACTCATTGCCATTGCACCAGTGTTATCACACCAAACTACTGGTTCTTGTAGTTGCTGTAACCCTATATCAGCAAGTTCACCCACGTTATTCAGCAGCAATGTCAACTACACATTTTTACTCAGCTTCCATCGTTGATCTGGAGACTGATTTCTGCTTCTTGGAGCTCCATGCAACAAGACATCGACCAACAAATACTCCATAGCCAGAGATAGATCTCCTATCATCAACACTAGCTCCCTTAACAAACGTTGAAATTGTCAACCCTGCATCAATCGACTGAAACAACAGTCCATAGTCCACAGTTCCAGCCAAATACCTTAATATTCTCTTAACTGCAAGCATATGCGTTTCTCGTGGAGCATGCATATACTGTGCCACCTTCCCAACACTGTAAGCTAAGTCTGGTCGCGTGTGACACACATATAACAGAGAACCAACGATACTTCTATATTTACTAGGGTTCATAAATAATTCACCCTCGTCCCCCGAAAGCTTAGAAGACATTACCATTGGTGTCGTGCACGCAACAACTCCTTTCATTCCAGACTTCTCAAGCAATTCCAGTACAAACTTCCTCTGACTTAATATAACTGAGCCATGTGCCCTATACACTTCAATTCCAAAAAAGAAACTAAGTAAGCCAATATCCTGTAACGAGAACCTGTTTCTGAGTTGCTGAACCATCTCTTGAATTGCCCTTGATGACCGCCCAGTGATGACAATGTCATCAACATATACCAACAGAAATAACTCTCCATCATCCCTTTTGCTAATGAACAATGAGGGATCAGCTCGTGAGGCTGCAAAGCCAATCTGAACTAGACTATCTCGAAGTTTTGTGTGCCAATTTCGTGGGGCTTGCCTAAGACCATAGAGAGCCTTTTTAAGTTTGCAGACAAAAGGAGTTCCATCCATATCATTTTGCTCGAATCCTGGTGGTTGCTACATGAAGACATCTTCATCAAGATCCCCATTAAGGAACGCATTATTGATGTCTACATGTCTCAATTCTCAACCGTTAGCCACAGCTAAAGCCAACACAACATTAAAGGAAGAAAACCTTACAACTGGGCTAAAAGTGTCAGTAAAATCATGCCCAAAACTTGTGAGAAACCTTTTGCGACCAATCGTGCCTTATATCGTTGTATAGAACCGTCAGGATTGCATTTGATTTTAAACAACCACTTGCAGCCAACTGGAGCACGACCTGCTGTCAACTTAACCAACACCCATGTGTTGTTCTTCTAAAGAGCATCATACTCAGCTTGAAATGTTCTCTCCAACTAGCAGTCTGTAATGCTTCATGAATCGTAGAGGGCACTTCATTCTCAAAATAATTGGTGTAGGATTTAGGTTTAAACACTCCACACTTGCTACGTGTTAGCATGGGATGATGATTTTGTAGCAATGTGTTACTCTGCATCCGACTACGTGCTGCTGTGTCTGCCCCTCCACCTGATTCAACACGATCATCTACACTAGCCATGCTCAGAGGCATAGTTGAGTTTACATCATCATTCACAGTGGTATCTTTGGTTTCTTGTGTTGTGACTTCCTCAGCCATATGCGGTGCATCTTCATGCTGAAAAGGAACATCCAACTGAGTTTCACCCGTAGCTTCATTATCATGAACACAATCAACTACCTCGTCTGGAGTAACACTGCAAGGCCAACTTCTCACATCAGCAACAATAGGGATGTCCCAAAACTGTACTCCTGAACAATGATGTTTTGAACGTACCACTACTTTATCTACAAAGGGAAAACCCATTTTGTTAAATACGACATGGCGTGATATATACACCCTACCATCACTCGCAAGGCACTGATATCCTTTGTGCTGAGGACTGAAGCCAAGGTAAGTGCATGGTTGTAATCGAAAATCTAACTTGTGATTTTGAAAGGGCCTCAGATGTGGAAATCATTGACACCTGAAAACTTTCAACGAATCATACTCTGGTTTCTTTTGAAACAACTTTTCAAATGGTGTCATTCCATTAAGAATTATTGTAGGCAGTCGATTAATAAGGTGAACTGCAGTTACTACTGCATATGACCAGTATCGAATAGGCAGGGATCCTTGAGCCAGAAGAACGAGCCCAAGTTCAGCTATATGCCGATGTTTACGTTCCACAACACCATTCTGTTCAGATGTGTGTGGACAGGATAACCGATGAGTGATCCCTGATTTTGCTAGAATCATCGAGAGCGAGCGAAACTCACCACCCCAGTCTGATTGGATTACCTTGATTGTTAGCCCAAACTGATTTTCTACAAGCTTATGAAACAGCTGGAAAGTTGTACAAGCTTGTGCTTTACTTTTGAGGAGATAAACCCATGTGTAACGTGTGCGTGCATCAACAAATGAGATGTAATAATGGAAGCCATTAGATGCAACATGGGGAGGTCCCCACAGATCAGAGAACACAAGTTCAAATGGAGTAGTATACTGCCACTTCGAGGAAGAAAATGGCATTTTATGGCTTTTTCCCATAAAGTAAGCCAACACGTTTTATTAACATTCAAATCAAGTTTTGCATTAATTTCTTTAGCTATTTTATTCATATCATAGCTGGATGGATGCCCTAATCGATGATGCCACAGTTCAGATTATGACATGCTAGCAGACACGAGATGAGCTACAACATTATGTCTCTCTACACGCTTACAGCCAAACGAAAAGATGTACATCACTTCCTTCTCTTCACCTTGCAGGAGAGTTTCCTTAGTAGCCTCATCACGAACATAACACTTTTCAACATGAAATTCAAGGAAGACATCATTGTCCCTAGTAGGGGTGTAAACGAGCCGAGTCGAGCTTGAGTATTGCTGAGCTCGACTCGACTCGAAAACTCTGAAATGGAGCTCGACTCGACTCGACTCGAAAACTCACGGGCTTAAAATTTTCAAGCTCGACTCGAAATCCTGAACTGAAGCTCATGAGCAGCTCGAAAAGGCTCGAAATGAAAAAAAAATTCTTAAACTTAACTCGATTGAAGCCTCAAACTCGAACATAAACCTTAAATACATAAAATCTTACTGTATTTTTTTTAAAAAGAAATCAAACATAAATATTAATATTATTGTTGAAAACATTTTGATGTTTCAATATAACAAATTAAGTTAAATGAATTTTAAGATTTTACAAATGATTTTCTAACTATATTCGATTCAATTAATCGAATATCAAG